AAGTCCATTAATGGCTATTAGCCAGGATGGGTAAGGAATGGTGTCCCTAGCCTCTGTTTGTCAGAGGGTGGAGATGGATGGCAGGAGAGAGATCACTTGATCATTACCTATTAGGTTCACTCCCTCTGGGGCACCTGGCATTGGCCACTGTCGGTAGACAGGATACTGGGCTGGACAGACCTTTGGCCATTCTTATGTTCCCCCAGAGCGTTGTCCAAATTCAACACGAGCTTCAAAGAGAAACCTAATTTTTAACCAACCCTACAGAAGGCAGCAAACAAAGAGGGAAGGCATGATTATCTATCTAGAGGTTGCAGTGACAGACAGGTCACCAGGCCTCTAGAGCCCTGATTCAGGAAGGTATTTAAGCACTTGCATCACTTTCAGTAGTTCCATTGATTTCAATGGCTTAACCTCCGGCATATGCTTAAGTAGTTTCCTGAATTGGGGTCTATATCTGGCTCTGCCACAGACCCCTGTGTGAGCTTGGACAAGTCACAACCTCCGTGCCTCAGTTTCCCCATCTATATAAAAAAAAAGACATCTTGGTTGTGAGGGTGCTAAGGTTTAATTCTTTAGTTTGCACAGCATGTTGGGCTCCTTGCATGGAAGTTTTTGTGTAACCAGAAAAACTAAACAATTGCAAAGCAAATTTAAGAACAGATGAAAATTGACCCTTGCTCTGTTCATATGTGCCACTACTTCTGGGAAAGCTTATCAGGGTGCACAGTATACATTCTGTTGCAAAAGCACATGCTCTGGGTGAGTAAGGCATGCTAAGGGAAAGTAGCTGGCTATGTGCTGTCACCCCTTTCCTGCTCACTCTCACTACAATGGAGAGCTGATATTTCCAGATGCAAGTTGGGTCTGAGCGTGCTCCCCTGGCAGAAGGGACTCCAGAGTTGAGAGGTACTGAGCTGATGTCTGCGGCTGAGTGTGTTTCAAGATGTTTGAACGCACTGGGGAACTGAAGAATGATTCAGTTTAGGAGGGGGCTTTTTAGTTTTACTTCGTTTCTCGGGGTAACAGATGAAGATTAGCAATGCAGGATCGTAACTAAAGGAGAATTCTCTTTAATATGAAAAGCACAAGACGTGCTAAGAATCTAAAGGTCATAGCAGACTAGTTTGCAGTTACGTAAGACTGAGCTTAACGCATCTGGTTTTACTTCTTGTGCCACCACGTGCCTTTGATTACTCAATCAGATTCTTCCTGTTTGCTTGCATGTTACAATGGCTTCAACATTCATCAGCTGAAGCTTGTGGCTGAAGATGAAACACCGAAGTGCTGGTATTATTTAGGTGATTTGAAGCCCACAGAAAGGCTCACGTCTTGTCGCTCAAGCACCATCACATTCCTTAACTGCATAAACATGGAAAGATTCCCAAAGGAAAAAGCCTGCTCCGTAGCACGGTGTTTAAAGGCCATGAGTCACTTGAAAAAAGTTCCTTTTCAGAAGAGTTTGGAACACTCAAAAGGAAAATCCTTCCTCCGCGTGCGCGCGCACACACGCTATCCCATCAGATATAGTCAGGGAAAGCAAACGATATTATAAGGCTCAGGACAATTAGGGCCCTTGGATGAGGTTTGTGTGTGTGTTAAAGTCATGCATCCACAATTGTTTTATGGTTTCTCAGCCTGACAGCCCACACTGTCATATGACTTGAGACAAATGACTTTATAGCAAGCAGAGACATGACCTATTTATGCTCCATAATATAGCAAGGTTAGCTGGTAATGGTTTGTATTTTCTTCCGTGAAACAATGCAGGAGGTGGGGGGGTTGTTGTGCTTCCAGCAGACAGAAAGGGGAGCTTGTCACATGGCTGCATTATCCGTGGTTTTCAACCTTTTTTCCTTTTGCGGACCCCTAAAAAATTTCGAACGGAGGTCCAGCTCAAACCCTTCCACTGATAGCAACTGCAGCAGGGTCACACACAGAGAGGGGGTCACTATGGTAAGCAAGCCCCAAACCATTTTAAGGCTTATGGGTTAAAAGCAACACCTTGAATTAAAATAAGACATAAAAACGGCCATACTGGGTCAGACCAAAGGTCCATCTAGCCCAGTGTCCTGTCTTCCAACAGTGGCCAGTGCCAGGTGCCCCAGAGGGAATGAACAGAACAGGGAATCAAGTGATCATCCCCTGTCACCCATTTCCAGCTTCTAGCACTGCAAAGGCTCCTAATAAACAATTAAGCCACAACCACCCTTCCCCTAGTCCTGATCCGCAGCACCATGCTATCCCAGCCCTGGGCTCCGCGCACACACAGCTCTGCCAATACCCCTCTGTCCCAACCTGCAATCCCCTGCTCTCCCAGCCCCAGGATCTCCAGGGTGGCTCGTACAAAACATATACTTGCCCCCCTGTAATTATATACACATTCTAACTACCCTTTTATAGAACAGGACTACACCAAAAAGGGCTGAAGTTTGAAACGTGCCATGGATCTAGCTTTTCTTGAAGATTAGGCCCATTCTATGGTTTGAAAGAAACTTGTTTTGATTTACCAAAGAGACAGGCCTGTGAAAATGGCCTGGGGCTTCATCCAAAGTCAATAATAGCCTGTCCACTGACCTAAATGAGCTCTGGATTGGGCCCATGCTGAGCATGCATAGTAGGAAATGTCCTTAACTCTCTACAGGTGTATACTTAGAGAAAGAATGTGCTTGCGTGTGCCATTATTTAAATACTTGTTTTAAGGAAATTGCAAACTCCAGCAGAGCTTGTGAAGTCTGTAAGACACGTCAGTCTGGATTGTTTCTTTTCCTTTTTTAAAGCATTAGGAAATTACATCCAAGAAACAGTTAATGTAACACTAAGGCTATAACCGAAGGAATGAGGAGTTGCAGAACAGGGGACGGAGCTTTCTCAGGGGACAGACCAAGATTGTGGCATGAACTCCCATAGGAACTAAGGACCATCACAAACCTCACCACCTTCCACTCCAAGTTCAAGGCAAGTTTCTATGACCTGGCTGCTTTACAGTAAACGCATAGGGGTGGGGAGTGTAAACATTTCTAAAACAAAATACTACACGGCACACATTTCTCTTCCCTGCAAGAGGATGAGAGAACAAACATGACAAATGTTGGTCATGCTACTTTGAGCACCTTCTAGCAGTGCATTAATATTAAGGTGATGAGCATGGTATAAGAACCTCTACAGAAAAGAATGAATGAAAGCTAAGTATCCATTCTAAATGTTAACTTGGTGTGTGTATAACCTACTCTCCCGCACACACCACGTTATATTCTTAGTTTTCTGCTAAAGGTATGTACCCTACTATATTACTGATTGCTGCAAAATGTATACTGTAAAATCTACAGGATGGGTAAATGCTGCTGGAACGTAAAAGTTTTCATTGCCTGACTTTTTGATACTGACTGTGCAACCTTAGGGTTACATTTGCACAGTTTTTGGCATTCAATAATCATAATCTGTATAGAATATCACCACTTCATCAATGAAAAATTAAAAGGAAAATGCTACACAATATAAGTGACTACTGCAGCAGCTATAGCTAACTGAATAAATCTTCAGAGGGGTAGCCGTGTTAGTCTGAATCTGTCTTGCATCTGAATTAGTCTGACTTGCATCTGAAGAAGTGAGGTTCTTACCCACGAAAGCTTATGCTCCCAATACTTCTGTTAGTCTCAAAGGTGCCACAGGACCCTCTGTTGCTTTTGAATAAATCTTATGCCTAGAGCTGAACTAAAGTCATTAATGATGCGGGTGCACAAAGAGAAGGGAAAGAACAAAAAGAGCCTTGTTAATTTCAGCTCTATTAGAAATACAGGTGAATGAGGAATCAATGTTTGCCAAAAGGACAAAATCAGTCGGGGAGAGTATTTGAGACTCATTACTGGGAATGAGGAGAGAAAAACAGCTGAATCGCCCTGTGAGTTACTAATTAGTGTCTTGTTAAGAGCTAACACAGCTCAAAGTCAGAACAGACAAGGAACAGCCCCAGAACAATTCATTTTCTTTTCTAAATCCATGATTATACCTGCTTGTTCTGTTTTCTCTTTCACACTCAGTCCGAAGGCTGGAGACTGCCAAGGGGGCTTTAGTCCCCACCTCCCTCCCTCTATTGTTGCTGCTCACAATGCTCCATAATCAACATGCTGTTTTTTCCTTTTGTAAATTAGTTGGCAATGTGCCAGATCATGAAAGGCTTGGTAAAGTTGCCTATCAGAAATTCCTCAATGGACTGAATAGAAATCATTCTCCCAGGGAGACCTAATGGGAGCAGGTTATTTTTTAGCAATGGGAGGAAAGCAGGATTTGAAAGTAACTTCATCTTGATTTGTTATCAAGGATCAGGCTATAAGGAAACCCAGGAAGAGGACTTTAAGTTGGAAAGAAAACGACTGCAGGCCACACGTTGTGAGGCGATCGCAAAGACAGAAGGAAGGTACTCAAAGAGCAGAAGGTAAAGGCTGAAAAACAAAGGATTATCACCTACAGCAAAGGCAAAAAAGTTTAACAAAGCTGAGGCCAAAGCAGGGCCGCCTGGGGGGGTGGCAAGTGGGGCAATTTGCCCCAGGCCTCGGGCCCCACAGGGGCCCCCACGAGAGGTTTTTGGGACCCCTGGAGCAGGGTCCTTCACTCACTTTCCAGGCCCTGGAAAACTCTCGCGGGGCCGGGCCCCCAGAGCTTCTTCTGCTCAGGGTCTTTGGCGGCAATTCGGCGGCGGGGGGTCCTTCCGCTCCGGGACCTGCCACCGAAGTGCCCCGAAGACCCGCGGTGGGGGGTCCTTCCGCCCCGGGACCCGCCACCAAAGTGCCGGGTCTTCGGCGGCGAGCCCCTCCCCCGCCGAAGACCCCAGGGCCCCTGAATCCTCTGGGTGGCCCTGGGCCAAAGAAAGCTCCAGCGGGTGAGGCACTTTTCCTAGTACTGGAAAGAGTTGTGGAAACTACATTAAAACAGAACAGCATGTGTAAGTTGGGCATACAAACACTGTTGGGCTTCTACAGCACTAACTTTGGCACCAGCTCTGCTCCTTATGTTGGTACAGTGCATGGACAGCTTCCCAGCATTACCCTATGGGTGACCTGAATCTGAACTGGAGGAGACAACGTGCGCTAAGAAATGGACAAAATATAATCCTCAAGTAACTGCCACACTACTTGAGGCCAAATGAAACAACTAATTTATTTCTTTTAACTGCCAAACAGAGGTCAACAGACTTTTAAACTGTTCCGTTTTCCCCCTTAGGGCCTGGATATAGGCTTGAGTCCAGTTTCAGCAGCAGAAAAGAAATATCTATTAAGTCACACATCTCCCTTTTGCAGACCAGTCTCTGACCTCAGATTCCTTTAGGTGCCAAACTGAAGACACTGAAATCCCCTAGAAAAGTAATCCTCACTCTCCATTTCTCCTGGAAAACCTTTGAGCTCCTGTGTCTGTCCTTCCTTGGTTCACTACCTATCTTATAACCATTTGTTCCTTCAATATTGCCTTCAGTGGTTCCTCCTTTCTGCAAGGTTCACCTGGGTTCTTTTTGTCTCCTCCTTTTCTTCCTCCTACACTTACCCCAATTTATTTAATCTGCCCCCATTTGTCTCTTCTAGCCCCTCTATGCTGATGACTCTCAAACCTACTTTCCACTTCAACATTTCTTCCTGTCTCATCGATGTCACGTTTGGAGGTTCTGCTGTTTCCTCACACTCTACACCGTTATATCTGAGCGCCTCATCTTTCCTCCCAAACCTTCTCTTCTCTTCTCCAATGCCAATACCATCCTTGTCCGACTTGCAACCGTAGGATCGTTTTTCAGTGGCTCTTGCTCTTCCATGCGCATCCAGGCTCTCGCCAAGTCCTGCTGCTGCTTCCTCTTCAACTTTTATAAAAAGTAGCCCTTCCTCGATGTGCCTTCAACTGGAAATGTTTTTCCATACCCAAGTAATCTTCTGGTTCAACTACTGCTACGTCCTCCCCTCTGGACTCCATTTTCCATCTCGCTCACCTCTAGTCCATCAAGAATACTGTAGATAAAATGACTCTCATTTGCCACTCAACCGATCACTCCTTTGTACAGATCCTCTCCTGCCTCCTCCTCCCCTACTGAATCAAGTGTCAGATTCTTGTCCTTGCCTTCAAGGCCCTGCACGGCTCTGCCTCTATCTCTTCTGGTTTCTTTTTGCACACCCCTCACTCCATCAGTGTGCAGCAGCATCACTCCCTTCATTTCCCTCTCACTCTCTCCTCTTCAGGCTTTCTCCCTTCTGCCTGGATCAACCCTTTATCACAGAACATTATGCCCCCACCATCTCCATTAACGCCTTCCTTAGAACCTATTTATTCCACTAGGCCTTCAAAGGCTAATCCCTGTCGGTATTATGTCATCCCCATCCCAATTAGCACCATCCTCTGGGTTTCCCACTGCATTCAAATCTGATCTGCGTCTCTTTTAAATTGTAAACTCCCTGTGGAAGAGACTATTATAGCGGTACAGCACTGATTGGTGCTTTAACAGTAATTAACAATCGTTCAACACCCAGAACACTGGTGATGTAGCTACACTCGCTCTTGTTTTGTTTCTATTTTTCCCTGCCTGCCCCCAAATGAGAGAGTGTTACTTGTGTGCTCACACCCTTTCATCAGAGACTGTGAACCTCCCTAGGAAGGAGAGGTCCCGGTCTGGGCGTGCTCAGTAACACATTTCCTCTCTAGCATGCTGCCCATCTCGGATATTCTCACCTGAAGTTCTAATTCCTTTTCTTTCTTGACATCTTGCAGCCGTTTCTGGAGGGACTTTATCTCCTTCCTTCCTTCCTCCTCCCTAGAGGAAAAAGCAAAAGGGGAAAAAACCTACATTCCTTGAATTCAGCACGAGAGAGTAGGGTTAGCTTTCCCCAGGAAGGGGACTTCCTCCCTTCTGATGCAGTGTTGCACCTTACAAAACACAGCCCTGCTCCTCCTGCTTGCGCTGAGAGCTTGTAGGTTGGAAAGCTCCCCAGGACTCTGCAGTACCACAGGGTGAACCACCTGTCCTTGGCTGGTTGGCAAACAGGCCATTTCTTGTCCACTTTAAGCTTCAGGGAAGTTATGTATCTGAAAGTCATAAACTGGGATGTGATCATAGCGCTGATGACGTGGTAAATAACTCCACAGTGCAGTGATGTATGGTTCATGTATAACTGCTGAGCCAGACAGGTGGGACTGATTGGGAGAATGAAGCAAAAAATGCAGATTTCTTCCAACAGAAGCCTGTAGAGACTCCACAAAGACTTGATTTATTTGGTTGAGAGAGTAGAGGAAGGAATCCTACTATTTGGGGACAGCTTCTATACTAAAACTCCCATAAATTTCAATGCAGGATCATGTCCCTAATCGCTAGCCATTTCCAGATTACACAGGCTTCAGTTTTTGTATAAGACTATTTTTGTTAAGGGTGAACTGAAAATCTATATGTTTAAAAAACAAACCTGTTCAAATTCTCAAATCAGTAAGGGGAGATGTATGGACACCAAAATTGACAAAGAGGTTTACATTTAAAAACAAAATCCTGGTAGTCTTTGGTGCAGGCATATTTTCTGTTATTGATGGGCAATTGGAATCGTTTTTTATTTGCACCAGCTTTCCACTTTATCCTTACAAAAGAAGAAAAAAAAATAAATCTGTGCCTTAAAATGTATAGCCAGTAGCCTTCCAGCTTGTGTTTCCCTAGCCCATGTCACTCTGATTTTTTTCTAAGGTTTTCTGCTTATAATCTAATATCCATACAGGGGCTTGGGTGCATATGGCACTTCATTAATCAATTTGACAGGTCCCTGCCCTAAGGAGCTTACACTCCAACATACATTCCATCTTGAAGAGTCACCATCTGGGTGAATGTGATTGAGAGAATGAATTTCCAGTCTTATTACAGGATAAAGACTACTTTTAGACTCTCACGGGTTGACACTTAAAAATCAAATACGTAAATTTCTCTGTAGATGTCCAAAAATCAGGGGGGCTCGGGGCTTTTGCATATACTGTAATGAATAATCTCTTTGTAATGTTCCCTAGTACACTTTAATATAGTACTGTTTCGAACAGCACTATCTTAAAGCGCACCAAGGAACCCTTAGTGTCTACACAGACCAATTAATCCACAACACATTGGTGCGCTTTAGAAACCACACCTCTGTAGCCCACATTACTGCTCCATTTAGACAAACCTTTAGACACATGTAACCATTTCCGGGGTTTATCGGTGTTGGGATTTTTTTTATCGAGTGTTTTATCGATGTTTATTGGACAAAACCAAAAATCAGAAGCCATGTTATACTGGAAGACATTTAGGGCTCACTCAAAAAAGTGCAAAGGAAGGTGAACCCTTAGCACTAATTAGACACATCTGATGGATGGGGAATAAACTGAGATGCCATTTTCAGGTGTTGTAATTTGTCCATTTTCTGCTTGAACTATCTGATGGTTATTCCACAGACAATCACCACTCGTCATTTTTCTTCTGCCCCCTGCATGGGTAAGCAGAACAGATCCCTCTCGTTTTAGATAGTGGGACAACTGTTGTATGCTGCAAGTATCCACTTGAGGAAATTAGACACTTCTCACTTAGGCCTCCCCTGCTTTGGGGATTTGCCTCGATCACAGCCGTTGGTGGCCACCACTGTAGCTGCTTAAAGCCATAGTGTGCGCTACTGGTGCTTACATTTGTTTGAAATCAGGGTAAGCTTCACCCATGCAAATCGCAGCATTGCCTGCCTACGCTAGATGCAGGATTCTGCTGTTTGCTACACAGAGCAAAGCAGCCTTCAAACCGTGGGAAATGCTGGTGGTGAATTCCCCTCGCGTGACAGCTGCCATCTTGGCTGATACACCTGGGATTGAACTGAGGACCTCCAGAGCCAAAAAGCATGACCTACAGCTTGAGCTAAAGCTCTGTACTCGGGGCTGTAACAAACTCCTATTTGCTGCAGATCGCTACAGAGGGGAACCTGTAACGCACTCACCAGTGGGTTACACTTGCCTAAGGTAACGCTCTGCTGATGGAGGCAGCTCTGCCATCTCTGTGCTCCCTGTCCCCAGCATAAAGGGAGGCAGGGGGCACGTCAGTAGCATTCTGGTGGCAGGACATGGGCAGGAGGGGGCGTTCCCACCGGAGACAGGACAGTAGGCCCAGAAGTGACTTCTCTCCCTAAATGTAACGTAGTGAATGTTTACGAAGTACACGGCAATGCTCAGATGGAAGAAGCCGTGTTCTCTTGTATCCTGTAAGTGAGAACATGTACTCAGGAGCAGTGGTGATTGAAGCTGGGAAAATGCCTAACACAACCCTAACCTGGTGATGGTGGTGTAGAAGTTAGACTTCCTCTCCTCCTCTCTCCGCACAGCTTGCAGCAGACTCTGAAACGTTCCTGAAATCTGCATTTCCTGCAGAGTTTCTGCAATCACATCGCTCGCGTACTGCCTGCCGACAAGAACAAGGAGGAACACAACAGCAACTTAGACAAAGATGTTATTTTCTGGCAAGTCAATGCCTGGCTCAAACATACTGGCCCCTTTATTGTTCACTGCTAAAAAAGTTACAGTAACGCAATGTCCTGCTTTTCTTCTGTTCAGGTTCTTACACCAAATCCAAGGCGTTTCGTAGCTATAATGGCTAGGGGTGCGAAAAAAATCACTCCCCTTACCCACGCCGGCAAAACCTCTGATGTAGATAGAGTTATGTTTCCCCCTATAACTCCCACTTGTGCATCTGGAGTATTTTGTAGTATGGTGGAGGGATTACGTTTATGCCTTAAGACCGTCCAGTGTGGCTGAGTTATCATTTAACATTTATATTACAGTAGCACCAAGAGGCCCCACTCAAGATGGAAACCCACTGTGTTAGGTGCTGTACAGGCATTCACACAAACATGGTCCCTGCCCTGAAGAGCTCACAATTTACCAGCATGTAGAATTTCCTGGTGCATATGTGATTACATTCTCAGTGGCAATTCTGCATTCATTTGGGAATTTTTTTTGCACTGAATTTCCTTTAACTCCTTCATTTGATTTTGCTGCTTAATTATACAGGCCAAGATTTTCTAATATATGTGCCTCATGTTAGATTCCTTAAATCAATGAGCTGCTATGTGCTCAGCACTCTTTCAAATCAAGCCATCTAATTAGGAGCCTAAATATGGCTAACATCTGGTTCCCTTTTTAAAAAAAATCTCGGCCTTCGTGTTCATTAGCTGTTCAGTAAAGCAGGATGGAGTGCACAGCAGTAATAGTGCTACAGTGGCATCGTATGAGACACTAATTGACTGAGCTCAAGAGACAATGCTCAGCCTGTTTAATTAATTTAACTAATAAACTAATATTTGCTAGAGAAACCTTGATCCCAAACACTGACACTGACACTGGCTCTAGGGATGAATTATTGAAAGGTCATCAGTTTGGAGTCTATTAAAGTGACCAAAAATCATGAACACTAGACCATACTTTGCAAATCTTTGACAAATTAGTTGGTAGTGTCAATCCACTTCCTAATGGATAGTTATCCTAGTTCCCAAACCACAGTAAATGGCCTCCTTGCTGTCAGTCTAAGCAGAAGCCAGAGTCTTGAATGGGTCTTGAAGACTAAACTCCCTATTCCCGCCAGGTCAGGGTTGAAGTACATTAGCAAGGAGGAGGGAAGCGTATATTGCTGCTATCTGTTCTGGAGATAAATGAAGGGCTTCATAGTCTTCAGGTCTGTCATCTGGCACCGTTCACTAAATGTCACAGTCCTTTCTGATCACTCACCTATCAGCTTGAACTTTTCTGAGGTTATCGGAGGACACAGCACTCTGTTTTGCAGCCCTACTAAAAAGATGATTGGCCCTTTTTAGATCTCCACTTGTCTCTTGCAGCTGCTGCCCCAGTTCTGTGAACTTCAGTGACTCGGAGGGAACTGTTGGCCTGTTCTCTGACCTTGCTGACATGAGATGTTCAAACTTAACCCCCAACTCCTTCTGGCTCTTGACGATTTCACTAATTTCTTGGGCATCAATCTACAAGGGAACAAAAGAGATGTATGTGCATAAGGGACAGAGGAGAAATGAAAAAAACTGCAATGTTATGTAACAGAAGAGGAAAAAGTTGATTAAACAATAAACGAGATTAGAATCATGCCCACAGCCATTGATATAGTGTATTAAATTACACACCAAAGAGACGGGAATCTGAAATCCAAAAAAATGCAGTCTTTATTTATTTATAATGCATGCTTGATTTTGCAAAGACCTTTATCCCTCCTTAACTTTAAGCACAGGAGGGGAAATTCAAGCAGGAGGGGAAATTCAAAATATTGGCCGCTATCTTCGTAACAAGCTATATGGAAACATTTTGGATATTTTAGGGCAGTCTAAGGTGTGAGTTTGAAAACAAACGATAGAGATCCTCCGCTGATGTAAATTATCATAGCTCCATTGAGTTAGGACAGTTAACCAGCTGAGGATCTGCCCAGATGTACTGTATGTATGTGTATTTGTGTGAATAGGTATATAAATTGTATACACTAAATGTATACAGACAGGCACAAATAAAAAAAGCTACTTTAAATGAACAATGTTAAAATAGCTTGAATCTCAAGTTCTTAAATGATCGAACTTCAGAAAAACCTGAGCTTGGCAAAGAAACTGCTTTAATGTAATGTAGTATCTACAGGCACTTTGATAGGTACCTTAAAATCCCTAGGATAGTTCAATTACCAAAGGATGGAGAGTTTGTAAATTGCATGAGGTGCCTTTTGTTCAGTTTGCTAGCAGTTTATTTTTTGCGGCACAGTGTAGGAGGCAATTGCGCTAAATTCAGCAAATGGAAACACTCCATTCCTCTGGGGGGGCACATGAAATGGAACAGTGCGCCCTAGTCATTGATTGAGAAAGTTAATGAATGATCAGCTGACACGGTGATTAATGTTATATAAAATGTCATAACTATGATTGACTTCTACAGCTATGTGCTAGGCAGAAGATAGGGTGCCTTGAAATGAAACTGACAATTTACAGTTGAAAAATATGGGATGGGATGCAGTGCAAAATGTCAGAGCATTGGAGTTAGCACATAGCTGTTCTCTATATTGGGCATGACTTTCATTGACACTATCACAAACTGAACATGCGTGTCAGGAGGAGAACACCCCCTAGAATCCTTGGGAATGTGTTTTCTCTGTGAGCGTTCAATGCCAATGCTAATATCAGAAGCTTTCCACACACTATTCAGTGAATGAGAATTCATATCTGGGAGTAGGTGGAACTAGGCCATAGATCTCATTTCAGGGAAGGAGTGCCCTCTACTGTATGGCTTAAGCATTAGTCAGGCTCTGAATCCAGTACACACTTCAGATTCTGAGTATTCTCTGTCACAGTATAATAGACTTCTTGTTCTTGAAAACGGATAAGAGACAAAGGACTGACATACAAAATTAAATTTACTTTACTCTTCCTCTTTCTTTCTCTGCTGATACTTTAGGCCTGGTGAGAAGAATAAAACGAAGCAGCATTAGACCAGATAAACTAAGTTCCAGTAGTTTATGCCACCTCAGTCATGATGCTTCAATTATTTCCAGTTCCTTACTCAGAAGGAAAAGTTTCATAACTGCTCAGCCTGGAAATTGGCTGCTGCCTTAGGTAAAAGTTAAGATTCTTGAGGTGATAGCAGAGATCAAAACAATTTGCCTCTCAAGATGGTTAGGCCCACTCTTGGGTCTTACCACCTCATTCGCCACTCTACCATCACCTGCAACTGCCTCCTTCTCCAAAAACATCTCCGCACTTCCAGTAGGCTGCCTCTAATACATGGAACACCCTTCTGAGCTGCCCTCTCCTTCAAATCTCCCCTCCAGACCCACTTATGCTGCGATGCCTAATGTGAAATCAGCCAGCTAATGACTCTAGGCTGAGGGGCAGTTGGTTAGTTATAGATTTAGGGCGGAATTTTCAAAAATGTTCAGTGTTGGCCCAACTCTATTCCCTCTGAAGTCAATGGGAGTTTCATGAGTGACTTCTATGGGAGCAGAATTACATCAGTACTGAGTGTTTTTGAAAATCCTATTCTTATTTACTTTTTAAAAAGAAATGCATGTATGTATATACAACTTAGCTATGTTTGATGGTTTTCCTTTCCCTACTCCTTTGCATTTTGTCTGTTATCTTAGATTGTAAGTTCTTTGGCATAGGAATCATGTCTTTGTTTATGTCTGTGGAGTGCCTACCTGAATGGGACCCAAATCCTTATTAGGGCCTCTGGATGCTACTGCAATATAAGTATTAAAATCAGTCTCCAGCCGAACAACAAGATGATGGATTTATAATAAGAACGGCCACACTGGGTCAGACCAAAGGTCCATCTAGCCCAGTGTCCTGTCTCCAACAGTGGCCAATGGCAGGTGCCCCAGAGGGAATGAACAGAACAGGGAATCACCAAGTGATCCATCCCCTGTCGCCCATTCCCAGCTTCTGACAAACAGACTGTTCCTTCTCTCACGGGCTGTGGAGCGCTTTACAATGAAAATATATCCACGTTTATTTTTAAGAAGAGTCGAAAGAAGGTGTAGCATAAAGACAGGAAGGAAAATAAGAGAATTTAAAAAAATAGAGGCACCTACATTGCTGATGTCTGTCCTGCCCTCATAGGAAACTGGCATAATATATCCAAGAATAGCAAGCTGATCGAGACAGTCCTCCAGCGCAGCACAGATTTGCACAGCTTCCAGAGGGGAGAATATTTCCATCTTTTTATTTGCCATATTCTCGCTAAGAGGAACAAGCACAGCGTGTGACAATGAGAGAGAGCGTGGAGTTAGCAATAACAGTGTAAGTAATACTAGATACTGAAATAGCCTTACATCTGCAACCTTTCATCTCTTTTCTAGTTTTTTGTATAAGCTGTCCTGCACTCATTACCCCAGAAATCCTGCTCCCCTAAGGGCTGCATTTGAACATAGCAGGAACCTTAACTCACATTAACAAAACAGTTTCACAGCCCCGCTCATCTTAGATATGTTTGGGCAGCCTGAATCCTAGGGCGCAATGCTCCAAATTGGGTCAATTGGAGCATCCAGTGCTGAGATTTGCAGACTCACCATCCATATTGAAAATGAAGGTGCCTGCTAGCTATGTTGAACTCCATAGGTTGCACTTTTGCCAACTTATGCTTTAAACTGTTCCTCATCATTACCTTGAATATTTTTGGATCATCCCATTGACCTCAATACGAGCTGTTGGGAGCTCAGCACTTTTTGAAAATCAGGCAAGAGCCTATGTAGGGACTGGGGAAATTAACTTTCGCCTCCTATTTTTGAAATCTTGAACAAGTTTATTTCAATTCAAATGGAAAAAGTATGTTTATATACAAATAAGCATTCCCATGCCACCTTTGCAAATCAAACAACACAGCATTAGACCACACTGAAGCTAAATGGAAATTGACCAGTCGATTTTCTTTGTCCAAGCTGAGCAAAATGCATAAGTAAACATCACCATAAACAGTGCGGAAAGTATGTTAGAGTTTTTCAGTTTTGAGTTTGTCATCTAAACTGTAACATAGTTAAAGACATTTTTATTGTACATACATGGGATTTTTAATCACACTATCCCTTTTAACAACAAAACTTAGAAGGAATGTGTCTTAGATTTAGCTTTTTGCAGACAGTGGGGTTTTTAAAAGGAAAAATAAACATGATTGTGCTGAGATCCTCATACAATTTAAACTATCAATTTGTGCCGGTTATTTTTAAAGAAAAAGGAACAAATGCCAGTCAAGATCTTACGCAATTTTTTTTATTTTTGCTTAGTAAATTTCCAGAATTATTATTTGGTATTTGAATAGCAGCTTCTCTCTCGTGCATGTTACAACCCTCCTTCCCACCCATCACAAACAAACAAAAAACCCCATCACACATGCACACACGCATGAGCGCACACACACACAAAAGAGATTGTGTTTGTACAGCAATCTAACACAATAGGACCCTGATTCTGATTGGGCCTTCTGGGTATTACAGTAAAGTCTAATAATAGAAGTCTCCACTGGTCCTTATCTGTCTACTGTTGGACTTGGGCCATGTTTAAAATCTCTTGAACAAACACTCGAGATCTGCAGAACATTACAGTCCCGGTCTGCAAGCACACTCTGGAAATGGAGCAGAGCCGTGATTAACAGGGTTGAGGCATTGTTATGCTCTATGAATACTAAAGAGTTTTAGATTAAGCCATTCTCTGTATCTGCACTGGAGTTAGAGTGAGTTACTTTCTTCAGCAACTTCCTGGCTTGAAGAAACTGTAATCCTTTAATATTAGAATATGAAATTAGTTTCAAATAGGCAGAAGATGAATATAATTTGTTAGTTCAGGTCTACCAGATTTCCAGCATCACAAGAGGTGGGGTGTAGTAAAAGGACCCTCTATTTTTAATTTGTCTGTTTCTTGACATTCTGTTTCATGGAGTATGTTCCTTGAAGATATTAATCCTTTCCAGGAGGTTTAACTAGCCACTGATGGCATCTTCAGTTTGACTCTATAGAACAGGGGTGGGCAAACTACGGCCTGGGGGCTGCATCCTCGAGCTCCTGCTGGGGAGCGGGATCTGGGGCTTGCCCTGTTCCACATGTGCCGTGGCTCCACACGGCTCATGGAAGCAGCAGCAGCATGTCCCCCTCCAGCTCCCATGCTTAGGGGCAGCCAGGGGGCTCTGCATGCTGTCCCCTCCCTTAGTGCCATCCCTGCAGTTCCCATTGGCCGGGAACGGGGAACTGTGGTCAATGGGAGCTGCAGAGGTGGTGCTTGCAGGCAGGAGCAGCACATGGAGCCATGTGCCCCCCCATCCTCCAGGGGCTGCAGGGTCGATGCGTGTTGGTTGCTTCCAGGAACAGCGTGGGGCCGGGGAAGGCAGGGCTAGCCTGCCTTAGCCCCGCTGTGCCGCTGACTGGGAGTTGCGTGAGATAAGTGCAGACCGGCGGGACCCTGCACCCTAACCCCCCCTCCCAGAACCAGCACCCCATACCCCCTCCTGTATCCCAACCCCCTGCCCCAGGCTCAGCCCGGAGTCCCGTCTCACACTCCAAACTCCTCGGCCCCAGCCCAGAGCCTGCACCCCCTCCCGAACCCCAACTCCCTGCCCCAGCCCGGTGAAAGTAAGTGAGGGTGGGGGAGAGCGAGTGACGGGGGGGGATGGAGTAAGCAGGGCGGGGCTTCGGAAAAGGGGCAGGGTAGATCCTGGGTTGCACTTAAATTCAAAAAGTGATCTTGTGCGTAAAAAGGGTGGAGACCACTGCCATAGAATATCACCAACAGTTCCTTTGGCTTTGCACACATTACACAGCCCATCTTTATTTCTTTTTAATACGGTTAACTTATTATTTAAGGCACAAGGACCTGTTAGCCCTTTAAAAATGACTACTTCATTGTTTCTAACATAACTCTGGAGCATGGTATTATCTTCAATTCTTGAGCATACATCCTAAAACCTTAGTCCTTCTTTCCCCCCCTTAGTCCATAGTTCTTGCCATTCCTTCGCAAGCTCCTTTGTTACCCTACTTTTGAATTCTTGTCTCGTTAAAGATATCTTAATATCTATCTCCTCATTTTTTCCAGAGCTTGTTTTGCTGCTTTGTCAGCCCTCTCATGTCCAGATATTCTGATATATACCAGAATCCATGCTATTGTTACACAGATACCTGCTTGCATTAGTTCTGTAGTTAGGAACATTATTTCACTTATGTCATTTTCGGCTTTCCCAATTCTGATTGTCATAATGCCTGACAGGTGCAAGTGCAGGTCAGTCACACATCTTTTACCCAGGTGTAACGATGCGGTTCTGGCGGGACCCAACTGAGAGTGCCAATTTAGGACAAATTGCTCCAACAGAGCAGTTACAGCCCAAGGCTGGGGTTTTTCCACCTCTAAGGCAAACCAAACCAGCCAAAGAGGACTTTGGTCTTACCCCACTGGCTAACCACAAGTCACACAAGCAATTTCCTTAGACACTCCAGTTTCCCAGTATCACCACCAGTGCCACTCATCATGGGGACAAATGGTTATGAAAACCAATACCCCAGTAAAAGAAAAAAGGTTCTCCTGATCCCACAGGACCAAGCCCCAGACCCAGGTCAATATACAAATTAGATCTTACCCACAAATTACGCTGTTGCCAATCCTTTAGAATCTACAATCTAAAGGATTATTCATAAAAGGAAAAAGATAGAGATGAGAGCTAGAATTGGTTAAATGGAATCAATTACATACAGTAATGGCAAAGTTCTTGGTTTAAGCTTGTAGCAGTGATGAAATAAACTGCAGGTTCAAATCAAGTCTCTGGACTACGTCCCCAGCTGGGATGGATCCTCAGTCCTTTGTTCAGAGCTTCAGTTTGTAGCAAAGTCCCTCCAGAGGTAAGAAGCAGGATTGAAGACCAGATGGAGGAGAGGCATCAGCCTTTTATAGTATTTTCCAGGTGTAAGAGCACCTCTTTGTCCTTACTGTGGAAAAGTACAGCAAAATGGAGTCTGAAGTCACATGGGCCAGTCCCTGCATACTTTGCTGAGTTGCAAGGTGTATTTGCCTTCTCTCAATGGGTCAGTTGTATAGCTGATGGTCCTTAATGGACCATCAAGCAGGCTAGGCAGAGCTAACACCAACTTGTCTGGGAAGTTTCCCAGAAGCATAGCATAAGTTTGAAATACAGACAGTATAGAGCCAATATTCATAACTTCAACTACAAAATTAATACACACATATAGACAGCATAATTATAACCAGCAAGCCATAACCTTGTCTTACACACCTCATTTGACCCCCTTTATACAAGATTTGGTGCCACTACAGGACTTTGGTTGCAACCATGTTCTATATGGTTGCAACCAAATAGATAACATGACACCAGGTTGGTGCTGTGACGAACTGGGACTGTTCTTACTGTGGTCTGTGAATGCTGACAGGGGAGTGTGGCTAGGATAGTCTGCATTGGGGGATGGGAGACTGACCGACGGAGAATACCTGAGCATGTAACATGAGAACCCAGGAAGGGGTTGGAGGCCAGGTGACACCTTGGCCCGGGAAACTGAACAAAGGCTGTGGGAGGGGTCGCTGAAGGCAGAGTGTTGGAAGCTGGCTGGTGAGATGGCTGGGAGGCAGAGATGGCTCTGACCTCCCAAGGGGGGCTGGGATGCCCTGGGACCCCAAGATGGACCTAACTGAGGGGGGTCCTGTTGTCTGTACC